AGCTAGCATTTCACTGATGTTGATTTTTCGTCGAATTCTCAACTTCAACCAAGTCTCAACGTTTCAACCTATTCTCAATGTTGATACAACGTTGTTGTGCCGAATGGGCGTTTTCCATCTTTGCATTTATATGGTTTCTTCTTTCCATCTCCAAGAAGTTCATGCAACAAACACGTTGACCCTTTGATGCTCCATTTTTGACTTCCAAGTTTGTCTTCATTTATGTTGATTTCCATGTGATAGGTTGCATCATTACTGCTATCTTTATTCTAATGAGAATTAATATCGTTCTCTCACGTGCGTTCCATATCTCAGAACGAATGAAAGAAGCGGATGAAAGTGATCCTTGAGACATGCCAGTCACGATAATATCCCACAAGAATGCGAGAGTTGCTACGATAGGCGAGCGGTATGATGGACGGTTGAATGGACTTGGGATGAAAAGTGACGAGAGAAAATGATGGAGAAAATCTCATGAAGTCAATCTTGGGATGAAGCGTGTCTTCCCAACAATCTCATTCATATGGACTCCTGTCAATCTTTCTTGTCGGAGTCAGTCTCCTTTATGCTGAAAGATCCTTTTATTCCATTTCTCCTCCTGCTCCTTCTCGTCCTTCACTGCGCTCCTGCGAGATAGACAGAAACTTTCTAATTCCCTCCACATCCCATAGATGTCACTTATCGCTTCGAAGCAGCTTCGAATGTCGTCGTCGCCATCCTAGCTACGTCTCTACAGTCTCTTTAAACGCAGTTTATTCTAGTTTAGTAGAGGCGTTACATTGCATCTCCTTTCGAGAAGATTCGCGACTGTCATCCGGAAAAGGGCCTCCTGGGGATGGGCCAGGTTGAAGTCTATGAAACGTTCGGCTACGAAAATTGATGTAGAGGAGAGGTATGCTGCGTATAAATAAAGTCACCAATGGCTCTGGTGTGAGGTAGGCTTATTTATCTCAATAGCCAAGGAACATTCTATTTACATTGCATGATTGAGTCAACATATGAGATGCAAAATCCCTAATTAGAACCTGAATATTGTGTAAGTTTGTTCGGGAAAGATTCGAGATGATGCTTGCTTGCATAACGATGCGATTCGGCATTAGGAACTGAAAAAAACGCGATTCCATTCGAATCTAGTGAAATAGTGATTCGTGCGCCACTAGTGCGCAATATTCCTACCTTATTCGGTCATGGGTCTCCTCGCCCAACTCGATCTTGTGCGCGCACTCGGCAGGCTCGGGGTCCCTTATTCGTTGTTAATAACTCTGTTCGTCTCAGGGCTATTTATAATTCACCTCCAAGAATCTCTGAGAATCGCTCAAATGAAATTGGCTTTGTGATTCAGGACGATTTCGTTAGTGAAACACTCTCCTCTGACATCACCGTTTTAAAATGCTCGGAGAGAAATAATAAAATAGTTTCTAATTGTACTATTTTTTTTTTAAGCAATCGAACGTTTGCAGCGAAGTTGTTGAGAATGGGAGGCAAATAGGGAACAAGGCCTCCTCATCACTCGAGAGAGAGAGCCGGCTATAGAAATCAATCGATATACTCATTGAAGCAACAAGAGAAACGCATTCATTGACGTCAGAATTGCAACGTACCAGTACGGAAGCCCTCCGAAGACGTCATTTCATCTCCAGAAAGGTTTCATCTAGGTCTAGGTCGACGATCTTTAAAGTTGACTACGCTGCATTTACCGGGGCCATTCCTTCGATCGGGGACGTTCCTTTCGGGATGAATCTCTGGGATGCCCTTCTTGCAGGGAATGCAAGATCAAATTTCCATTACTATTCATGAGGGGGGACGGGAGAGAAGAGGGCCATTAGGGAAGAGGAGGGAAGATGGAACGAGGTGGACGTTCGGGGCATGCGCCCGGGGAGAAGGGACGAGAAGAAGAAAAGAGGAGAGGAGGGAGACGTCATTCAAGCGTTGAAGGGAGTGGTGTGGATGCGGAACCATGCGGAAATCCGGGCAACAAGCTCGAAACCCAGGCTCTCCGCCGATCGTGAAAGTCCAGATTCGTCCGTGTTTCAGTGATCCGCTGTTATTGAGGCAGCAAGGGAAACGGCGTTCCGCTTTGGACCGCCGGACAACTGCTTCCTCGGTCGAGAATGAAAGTCCTCCACCCAGATGCGGCACCTGTCGACAGGGACGATGCTGGAAGGTCCGATACATTTATTCATATTATCTCTATCAAATATATCGATACTGGTATAACCACAGTCCAACAACATCGTATCTGAACGTCGCCATCCGATTTCCTACTTTGACGGATTTCAGTTTTTTCCCCCCATCCAATTGTTTGAATTGCATGGGAGCAGCGCAGTTAACGAACAAATTCATTCCATGCTTCCATGCTTCCAATGGGTGGAGTCATATGCGTTATGAACCCTCTGAGATCAGGGGTGGTCCCGATCCGCCTTCCTGACGTGATTCTTCTTCGGCAATGAATTAATGAACAGATTCGATTCCGTCACGCCAAAAAATAATTCCCATTGCGTAGAGCGCGAATCACATGGGGCTCTCGATATCCATGTCCTCATGACGATGTTGGAAGAGGTGGAATATTGATCTGCCGATGATTGCATGCCTAACGTTGCCAAAGGCATGAATACGACACCGCGGCCCATGGGGAAAAAGGAAATAGCTTGAGAAAAGGCAAGAACCTTGAATTCATGACTCATGTCGCTCGTGGAGCCCCGCATCATGCATTCACATTCCTGCATTTTTGACTTCCCTCAATGGACAAGCGATGACTTCCAAGACGGTGTTCATGAAGAGGTGCGACACGGATAGGGGGAATACAAGGAGGTTACACTTGCGGAAAGGGGATGGGATAATTGGCTTTGTTACTATGCTGGCTCTTGGATGGGGAAGGAAAGGAGAGAGAATCGACGTGGCTTTAACAAGCAGAGCAAGCACTTCCTCCCAGGAAAGAACCCAGTTGCGGGAATCCATATTCCTTAATGCATATATTGTGGTTCCATCAGAGGAACTTCTCTCGCCTCCAGGCCTTTAGGATTCCTGCTCTTAGGTAGAGACACTTGGTGTGCCTCGGTGTATCTTCTTATTCTGTGCTATTCCATGGCCATCCATGGAACACGGCTGACGTCAGAGGAATCTAATTACCGGGTTCTTGATTGCAGGACACAAGGACACATGTGGTGGGAGAGCTCTACGACACCGAGAGGAGTTACGTGGAATCTCTCCAAGTCCTCGTCAATGTAAGCTGCGTCTTCTAATTTCCCTCTAAGTCTTCACCTTGATTTGTCGATGAAAGAGGATATCCTCATCCTAGTTGACCTTGGGGGAGGGATATTTAGGTCAATATTTCCGGTTCTGGGTTTCGAGTTGCACCCTGCGAGTCATAGGGTTTCTCTCCGTTATTCTTTTTTTTTCCTGGATGCCTTCGTTCATTCAATCTCGTTTCATGAGCATTCCATTGCTTTGCAAGCAATCCCTGGCGACCAAGTTTCCGCTGCGAAATATAAAGTTGGGACAGATTGAGGAGCTTTACTTTTCCCATGTATGCACCTGATATTGAAGGAGCTCTTTGTGCTTAAGCTGAGGAAGAAAAATATTTTTCTTCTACGCCTTCAAGACGCGGTTATACACCGATAGGAAAGCTAAGAAGCGGAAGGGGAAATTGATCAGAGGGAAGCAGATGATTAACCCAACCATCCTCTTGGGCTGAGGTAGAGAGACCGAGGCAGGAACAGAAAGAAATGAGATTTCAGGTGCAGGAATGAATCCTGGGCTCATTAAGGGGAAGACTTCAATTGATTAATTCCCTCTCTTGGAAAGGGAAATACATTTCCTCTCACCCCCCCCCCCCCTCCCCTTCCTGGCCTCAATCTCGATCCCGCAGAGGGGAAGAGAAACATTTAAATCGTAAACACCCTTTTCTACCTTGGATATTGGAAAGTTTTGCCCCGGGGAGAAACTATTCTTCACGGAAGTCGAGTCTGATGGGCTTCTGTTCTCGAGATACAAACTTGGCCTGAAGTCACAGGAAAGTTACCACATGCATGGAATGTATTTGAGTAGAGGAAACTACATCCGCTTACGAAATGAGGTAGCGTGGATGGAGAGTGGATGAGGGGTGATTCCCCCCGGGTGAGAGGCTGAACCCGCCTGATCGAAATGCCAGCGGGAGACACCTATCACAAAGGCTGGGCATTTCTCCCCTCCCTCCTTCGCTCTTTCCTCCTTTTGCTCCTTGTTCGCTCTTCCCTCTACGTGGTTCTTCTTCCCATCCTCATCCCTCTCCCCCCATCCACATTCACTCCTCTTCTACCTCCTCTTTTAGCAATCTGAAATATATAAAATGTAAATACGTGAAATTCGTCAGATGAGAATTCCGAGGATCCTGTGCCCGAAAAAAACCATGATAAGCCTCTTTGCATGGGTAAAAATGTGCATATTCCAGAGAAAAAAAAACACTCTCCGACTTTCAAGAGGAAAATGTGCAGCGGTGAGTCATGGATCGACACCTATAGCGGCATTCGTGGGTAAATCTTTCCCTGGGATTCATTTGTATAACACCTCGTCCGAAAGAAAGATTGATTGAAGAAAGGAAACATCGATACCACATCCGCATTTCCTAGAAGCGTTCGCTCTATTGCTCGCTCTCCCTCCCTTCTCTCTCATTCCTGAGCCTTCCTCCCAGTCGATGGAAGTTCGGCAGCTCTATCCTGAATCAGATTGTCCACGTCGTTTGCTTTCTTTGGAACTGCGGAAGGGAGTTCTACCAAATCCCATTTAAAAAGTCTTCTCCGCTCCAATGAGTATTCCCAAGCAGAATACATTTTGAGCTGGGATTCCTGAAAGCATTATTCCTGGAATAATGGCCTTCCTGCTTCAATCATAAATTGCATGCCAACTGCCTATGCCTTAATTAATTTGATTATGTGCAATTTATCAGTCTTTTTCTCATCTGGAGGGAAGAAAACAGGAGGGAATGAGAATGATTCCTCGCAGCGGCGTAGCCTCGGGAAGTCATTGGAGGCATGTGTCCCCCACTTAAAAAAGAAGCAAATGTAACAGGAAAAGACGCATGAAATGCCTGAGAACAGTGTCTTAGAGTTCCTGAGGACCCCCCCCCCCCACACACACACATACTTTTTCTATCCACGCTATGCCTTTGATCCTGCAGGACTGTGGAGAATTTGTTTTAAAAAAAATTAATTCGAGATCGAAACGTATCAAAAGAAATAATTAATTGCAAGGTCTATGATCAAGGTCTTGATGAAGCATAATATGTAATTATACAAAATCCGCTGAATTATGCATTATTCCCGTAAGAACCGATGATAGGTGCTACTTTCCGGGTCGTGTCCTTTAAAAGGAGACGTTGCCAGAAGCAGGAAATGTAGGGTCTCGCATGAAGACACAGGAAGGTCATGCATGAGCTATCCCGCACTCAGTCGGTGGATCTTCTATCCTGGGGATTTAATTGGAATTTTAATGAGTGACATTGAAGACGAGACCAACTCTCATTAGTCCTCTCTCGTGCCCTTTTAATCAAATTCCCGAGAACTCTCTTTGCATTTATAACGACCCTGTTTGTCCTCAGTTGTGCTTCTCCCTTTCATTGATGTTTTATTTCGCCGACTCATATTTCCCCTCGATTATTTCAGAAATACCTGGAACCCCTGAAAGGAACCGAAGGGACGGAATTGGTGGACTCAAATCTCGTCGAGGAAATCTTCTATCAAGTGAGTGCATGCACAGTATAACGGGATAAGTGACTCGTGAAGTTTGATGCCTCACAGCTGTGGTATGGGCGAGAGATTTATATCATCGTCTTGAGTAAATGCAACACTGGCAAGCAGAACATTTTAGAATCTAAATTATTTTAATTTTGCTTTTTCGGACGAGATGAAGCGATCAAGCTTCATGACGTCTATGGCCGCGCGTTCAGGTACGTCTCGCAAAACTCATTTTGCCTACCGCCATAATCATCGCCGAATCAGACTCGAAGAAGTCTGAGATCTCTTAAAATCTGGATCATAATGCCCTTAGACACTCTAAGGGCTTATGAAAGTCGACGACCCGACCTCTACAGACTACGTTGAACGACCCATTTCACCTTTGGTGGAATCAGATTCCGAGCACCATGACCTTGCTGCGTCTGATGCACTGCCCATTATTTTAAAATGTTAAATAATCTGCTGGGTACTTGTATGATGATATTGACAGCTGTTGAACGAATTCTCCAGAAGTTGAGTCGTCGACTTTCACGAGGACTCGGAGTGTCACGGGGTTCCGTAGTCTGTCTTCTGAAAATCCTCAGATCAAGTGATGCCTAAAAAAAAGTCAGCGTCACACGAATAGAATTTATTTTACCCAAAAATTAAAATTTATTTAACCAGTCAGGAAGAAGAAAGATCTTTACAAAAAGCCGCGCAAAAATCAAGTTTGAAAGCGAAATATTGAAAGCCAAAATGAACGTTACCTAAATTCAGTGACACCATCCCTAACAAAACGTCCACCTCCTATCCACCTGGTCAAACAACCAGGGGGTGGATTTGGAACCTGGTGCACGTCCCCCCGGTGGAAATTCACCTACCCATTCGCGCCTATGTATTTCGAGCCAGGTACATTTTCCCTCCGGGTGGACATCGCTCCAACAGGTGGAAATAACGCTTAAGGGGACATCCACCTGGTTCCACGGGAGGGAGGAGGGGGGGGGGGGCATTTAGTAAGGGATCCCTACCGTTCACAGTCAAGTCAAGGATCCAGCAATGCCAACAATCGAATGCGTTAGTGATCCGTAAGTTTCCGGTCAATGCATTAAATTATGCACGGCGTTGCTGGTTGTTGTGCTTCCATTAACTTAATTGCCAGGAAGTCTCAAAAATGAGCGCAGAGAGAACCTATCAGTCATTGAGGATGTCATAAAGCGTTTGAAGGTGGGTCGTGAAGAAGCACACCTTAATCGCGTCTTTCAATAACGTAATCGCGCCTAAATTCATTCAAGTGCCGTTTTTCATTCTCCTGTATCTGGGTTCAGAATCGATCGATTTCAATGCAGTTAATAATACATCAAAAAGACAGCTTCCCAGGCAGCACACCCACGTTGGGCCAATGTTTGGTCTATGTTTGAATTCCTCATGTGCGGTGTGGACCCCACGCTGGGCCAACATTAAACGCTGACGTGCGACATGACTTTCAAGCACTTAGAAGAGGCCTGGAGAAAGCTTATTTATTCGTAGAAAAGGCAGACCCCTTTCCAGAAACTTTGCGCCCGAGTCTCTCTCGGTCCGGCTGATAGTATTCCATCGAGTACTACCTCCCTTGATTGTCTCCATCTGAGTGATGTACTTTCCTCATATAATTAGAACTCCATCGTGACTTCATCCATCACTCATAAGGTTTTTTTTCCCCCACTCTGAAAGTGCTTGTCAAGTAAGATCCATTAGATGATCTATTTCATCACACTCGGGTTTAGCCAGACGTATCCAGACATCCTCCTCAATCAGGTATAAAAATCAACCTAACCCCATTGTGTCAGGCCCCTAGTTGAAACATCCTCCCTCCACAATTTTCAGGAGGTTCGCTGATCTTTTAAAGTTTTTTAAACAAATGCTTTCAGGTGTTCAAAATTGCCTGTGGGAAAATATCAGGAACCCCATGAAATGTGCTGGAAACTAATTGCGAGTCACTGCCTGATACCCCTGAAATTGTGATTATTTCGGCGCAATCTTGCTTCATTTCCGGGAACCTTACTTGTTTGAAGACAGCCTTTAGAGACCTTATCACTACAGGCCATTTCAAGCATTATTCAACGGCAATAGGCGAGTCAAGTTTTGTGAGAAGTTTCTGAATATGGTTGCCAATTACGCCACAATGCTCGATCGCATCAACTCGACGAATCGAATTTTCAAAAAAGTCGTAATACTTCTGCTTGATGAAATTACATAAATTTCTTACTCATACCTTTCCTATGTCCGCAGTTATAAGGCTTTAGATTACTTGGGCTGCTAATGACCCACCCTACACAGTCTCGGTATGTAAATATTAGTCAAATACTGTAACCTATGAGACTAAGCTTCTACGGTATTATCTCCGAATTTGCGGCTTGAGACCGCTTACAATATCGCCTCGAAAATCATATGTGAAAAAATAGGAAAATTCAGTGCGAATTATATGCATCCTATCGAGTTCTCACCTAGTAACCGGAACGGTAATTTTGTAATAAGATCCGAAGAGGATGTTTCTCATTCTTACAAGTGGTCATGGAGTTTTGATAAAGGGCTAGAACAGACGTGACTGAGGAAAGTAGGCCAAGGAGCTTCTCCACGATGATCTATTGAATCCACCTTCCATCGTCGGATGTTTCCGGTTCATAATCAGCATCAATCTTTCTCGAGGGCTTTCCTCGTCTTCTCCAGAGACGCACTTGTCTCTGGGGAAGTGGAACTGGGTAATCCGGAATGCTGAAGGAATGCCTTCGCTGTTTTTTTTCATAGGAAATTTTCAATTGCATCTCTGAATCCCACATACATCCCGGAAGAATCAGAATTTTACTTTATTTGGTGGTGACATGACTATCAACAGTGCCTTCATCACAGCTAACTTGAATGGACACTGCATGCCACATGAAGGGTAGAAATGGCACATATCTGGGGTTATACAGGGTGTCCCAAAAGTCATTGTGCTCCTTGTACACACAGAATAGCGAACCAGGTGCACAGTGACTTTTGGGACACCCTGTATTACTGCATCCTCACAAAACTACCTCAATAGTTATTGTTCACGCAAGGAGACATGCAATATGATGTTATTCCTTTTGCGTGCAAAGCAACGTGACACACGCTCTTCTCTTGCATCTATTTATGCATGTATGATTCACTGCCACATTTTCACTCTTCAGGGAGACTCAAGAGTCAGGCTAAAAAAAAATGAAAGAAGGTGCACTTGGAACGATGTTGCCTTTCTTCTTTCGGGTCTTTTATTTTCTTTCGATTTCGATGCATATTATGCGGACTTACAAAATGTATGTTTTAGGACTGCAATCCGATAAAATTCTGGCTCGTATAAAGCAGTCGATTTTTTTTATATTAAGCCAGAGTATTTTTACTTCTTTGGAAAAGGGAAACACGTGAGAACAAAGGTAGCTCTGTGGGATTAGACCTAACGCAAAAAAAAACCAAATAAGCACCTCATGGTAGAGATGAAAAGAAGCTATCAACTTTTATTTGTCATTTGCTATGTTCAAGGAGAATACCAGGACCGTTTAAGATATCAATGGTCGACCGATCGATCCCATCTATGTTTCATGATTAATCGATCGAATCTATTAGTAGCCACGCTTAAAGATTCTGAATAATAACCTTAGGACTGCGGGTCCCGGAATATTCCGGATGCAGTCTGACGACGTCATAATCAATGCAGCAGGAGTAGGGCTAAATCACGGTCCATTATGAAGGATTATTGGGACTGTATCTTGATAAATATTCCTCATAAGAAGTTTGTTTCGTATCGAGGTGGCATATTGCACTGTGGGAGATGTCCGGAAGAAAGTGTTTTGGAGGCTTTCCGAATCATGCGATTGAATAGCAAACAACAGCGCTGCGGTTATAAGGAGCGGCAGACCTATGTTGTTCCATGTTTTTAAGCAGGATGCCGAGGGGGATTTATGAATGATGAGTACGAGTCCTCGTTCGAGGCGAAAGGCGTGTGAAATAGTTGGGATGGATTCAGAGAGGCTGTGCATCACAACCTCGCGTTGTATGTACCGGTGGATGTGGCGAAAGCGAATTGGGACATCTCTATCTCATTTACAGATTCTTTGCGAGAGATGAATTCCAGCCACCATTCCTCCCATCCATTGTGCTTTTTTGGTCAGACAAACGTATTTCGCAAGCATTTTTTGCAATCTTCTTCCAGGGGGAAGAGTAATGACGTCGAATTTCTTCTCATCTCCGTGGAAAGAACTTGCAAGAAAGTGGAAGTTTGTGGATTAGTGATCACATGGGTTTATTAAAAGTTCTATCCCAATCTGGAAGCTTTAGATTTAATTCAATATTAATCAAAATCGACGGCATCAGGAACCAATGCACTGAAGAAAATGCAGACACGCAATTCGAGGCGGAAATGTGACTCAGTGGAGGTCTCTTCCTTCCAATTGTGACAGTCTCTCGCAATGCATTTTGAATGCGTCACTCTTGGGTGAAATTCTGCATGGATGTATGTTTCCATGGAAATATGTATATCTAACAAAAACATGATGGATGAGTGGCTAGAACTCATGATTCACCGAGTCGTCGTGAAGTCTGTCTTCAAGCTTCTTCGTTTTAAAGCTGTTAAGCATCATGTATTCATGGAATAGTTGATGCCTTTTGTCGCTCAAGTGTCCCAACACGGAAAACTTCTCTCATACCCTCTTCCAGGTCTCCTATAAATAACACACATAATCGCTCCTCGGGGGGGGGGGGGGGGGGGGGGAGAGAGAAACCCAAGAAGGGGAAGCGGATGAGGAAGTTGTNGTGGGGGGGGGGGGGGGGGGGGGGGGTCAGTGAGAATCCGAGATTAAACGAGAATTTGAAATGAAGCAGTATGAAAGTACCATAAACCCAAAATCCAATGTAATTATAACATATGCTTAAAGAACGAACTTAAGTGTTTCATCTGAGTTGGACATTGCAAGTGAATGTGAGGACGCAGTTCGGAGGTGGAACTCCTCAACCTAAGTGTATCGAACTCGACTGCTCGACGAGGGATAAATGGAACGAAGTGAACGTGTAGCAGAGGGTGAATAAGAAAGGGAAGACAAAGCCTGAGTAGAGATGGTACATAGTAATGCTCCCATCCTCCCATCAACCTGGCATTAAGTATCTTTTTTTGTCATTTCTAAGACTGCAATGAAAACTTCCCAATCTTGAGGATATATCCTCAAGATCCTTGAAGTATTTGATACCCCGAACCATGAAACCTTGAAAGGTCTTGAACCATTGAAAATCTGTTTCAGTTGTAATGTGGAACTGCAGAGAAGTAGGAATGCTTATTTGAAGGGGAAGGAAATTACGCTCGATTCAAAGTGATATATTGAAGAAACTGAAGAACTTGAAACTCCCAGACTAAGAAACCGAATGGTCTCGTTTCTAACAATCGGTGCAACTTGTTTCCGTCATTGGTGGCGAAAGGGTTTTTCAAACTTTCGTTCAAAAAACTGGATTTTTGTGATTATGCGTCTTACTCGTAATATTTCGTAAATGAAGCGTGTAAATCTCGATCGTGTAAACCAGAGTCCCTCTTTCCTACTATTCATGAGTCTTTTTAGTTTACGATTTTTACATGAAATCATCGTTTAACAGCCTAACATTGGAAATTTATCCGTTTTTTCCGATTGATATTGTGGCATCAATAAGCTGTGGCACTCCCGAGCGGACCCGCAAGCTTGTTCCTCGACAGGGAGGGAGTGAGTGGATGTTATGAGTCTTGAAGGGTCGGTCGCCCAATATCAGGACTTCTTCACGTAAGTAGGGGGGAGCAACTATAAAAACATTTCCGAGGGACTCCACTGCGTAAAAGTGGAATGTCAAGGTCCAACGTTCCTTTCATTAGTTTCCGTCTGCCCTGCTCCATCACGGTTTCAGACGATGCGATCACACTACGTATAAATACTTTTCTTTCCCAACACATTCATCTAAAGGGCCTCTTCAAAATTAGAACTTGATCGGTCGCTCGGGAAGTCTCCATTGACAGGTGAGAATTTCCCGTGTCGAATTCCGGCACCTATCTTGTCCTCCTGCCAAAATGTATTCATACCAATACACATTTAGATCTCTCCTCATAATTGTTAACTATATATATGACTGTTCGCGGGGGATTTGAGATTGATATAGGTCCAGTTCTTTTCGACCTACAATAAACACGGCACGAGATGGGGAGGCCTTGTCACAGGATGCATGAGAGAGCCGAAGAAAAAGAGAACGTACGTGTCTAAAAATAGGTAAATGGCAAGGTGGGAACCGTTCCCTCCAACAGACACATACACAGTTACACAGGCATGCATAATGGCGAAAACTTGTGTGGGTTTTGCCCGCACCGAAGAGCCAAAACACTCTTCTCATCGATGTAGATGTTGGCTGCACTCAAGGAGGACTTACGAGACTCCCAAGAGTAATATCGTCTCCTCTTCCCCTCCATATCACAGATTCCAGCCATATTGGCACACCACGAGTCATTCCTGGCCAAGATGAAAGCTCGTGTCGAGAATTGGGATGTAGCCCAGAAGGTCGGGGACATCATGGTGGAAACCGTAAGTGCGAATTCATTCTGAAAAGTAAAAAAAAGAAAACTTTCCACTTTTGACACGACCCATGATGCGTCTCGAGTCCAAGGCCAGGAAAGAGAAAAGTTTTGTTGGCAGATTGCCGTCCACATAATGAGGGTTCCCTTTGCAGTTCACCAAACAGGAAGTGATCGACACCTACACGGCGTTTATCAACAATTGGAAGCATGCGAAGGAAGCCATCAAGATTTCTTGTCAGCAAAAACCGGCCTTCGAGAAATTCATCATGGTGAGATTATTTCCATTTGCTCCATTTTCCCTCGCAAGACGGACTTGGAATTTTTTTCCCTCGTGTTTTCGCGAAGGCGATGGCCCGGGAGCACAAAGGGAAGCTTACTATGGACTGTGCCCTGGATTCCCTTCTAATAATGCCCGTTCAGAGAATCCCTCGTTACGAACTACTGCTCAAGGTATCTATCAGGCTTCCTTACATCGGGTGCATCTTGATAGATCTGATACGAAAAAAAATGAAATGAAACCCCCTTCTTTAGATGCTCTTGAAGCATACGGATTCAGAGCATCCCGACCACGAAGACTTGCTCCTTGCTCAAAAAGAGGTGATTCCGCCTGCCTTTCTCCGTTGTAAATAGACTATACGAAAGAAGAGAGCAGATGTTCTTTTGTCTGCAGGTGCATAGCCTGGCTTTGAAGATAAACCAGATGGAGAAGGCAGCCCTAGAATGGGAGGCTCAACAGGCGGCGCTGAGGGAGCTGGAATCCCTCATCGACGGCCTGAGTGACCTGGCTCAAGGTGATCGGTCATTTATCAGGTATGACCTCGTAACCATGCCTGGATCCCTGGGCACCCGTAAGGAACGATGTCTTTTCCTCTTCAACGATCTCCTGGTCATCTCCAGCATCAAACGACGCAGCGGGAACCTGCGGAAACCCTTCTCGTAAGGGCTCTTACCTTCTTCGACCTCGTCTCTCCTTTGTGTCCGCGTTGCACATTATGTTTTCAACGGTGTAAATTGCCTAGGGTGACGCAAGGAAACCTGTCGGCCCTGGAGGGCAACAAGTACAAGATGCTCATGAGAATACCCCTTGATGATCTGGATATCATCAAAGGTATGTTCTGAGATAGTCCCGCGAGGCTCCTACCCTATCGAGTTTCTTTCTTCTGCTCCTTTTGTAGAATTCATCAAAGAGTAGATGGGAGTGGGAAGTTGATGAATGACTCTCACAGTTTCCCTGATGAGTCTCTGTCATGCTCGCTTGATATTTTCTCCTTCCTTTCTTCCTTCCGCTCCATCATTTTCTCTCATCCCCCTTTGCTCTACGATAGCCAAAGACGAAAACTTGAAGAAGCTGTTGAAAGAGGTGAGCAGCCTAGAAGAAGACATCTCGATCGTGAGCCAGATGATGGATCTCACGAATTCCCTCCATTGTTCCCATGCTTCCCTGGACGACTCTCTCAGAGAACTCAGTGGGAGTCTCCATCGACAGCTGGCTGAAAGACAAACCTCGGAATCTCATCTTCTCTGCCTCGATCTCACCATCACCACACAGTAGGCCTACCCTCACCAAAAGCAATAACTTTTTTCTGCGTCTTCTCTCGATCGGTAATCGATTGCGCGCGGTGCCTGCGGGTTAGTGAACCCGCAAAGTAATAGCCTTCTCTTCGAACCGAAGAAGACAAGAATATATTCGAGACAGCATTTCTTGTGCTAGGGGAAGGAAAGAATGGTAGATTTCGATATCACGAATTTTTTGTTCCGCATTATCCACGAAGGCTCCGACAATACCTAAATGAAAATAATAACGATTAATTTTCCGCTTTTATTTACGAATTGGAATGTTGAAGTGACTTAGAGTAAAAAGAAATATATTTGCCTCTTCCGGGAGACAGCAGGGCTACGAGGATAGGGATTCATGACTCTAAGGCGGAACCTTCGTTGCCCTGGTAACAGAGGTACCCTCGAGATCTCCCCTTTCGAAATGTCCCTTCCGATCGAAACTCACCCCACTGCCGCAACATTACCAAAAGGGATTCGCGCATCCTTAGATTTCATAATCTCGTGTTTTGGTGTCGGGGTAAACGTGTTAGTCACCACCAGTCTACTTCCCGTCATGGTATCATATTGCATTCATTGTCGCTGCATTCAAGCGAGGGATGGAGAATGAGGTCGGGAAAAATGAGAAGCTCTCTTCTCGAGCTTCGCCCCCTTCCTGCCAACCTACCCGATATGACTCGGGGGAGAGGGGGCTGAAGCCAACCGGTCGGTTTTTGAACGGCTGCATATGCTTGAGCAGCTTTACCCGTTCAAAAACTGCTGCTTCATATGGATGAGATATGGTATAGGTTATATAAATATAAAACTATTTTCTGGGGAGCATATCGGCTCTCAAACACGTGAAGCTTTATTAATACTGCCAAGGGTAGAGCAAATAATGCGAATAAAATGTACCTATAAGCTTTTATAGAATATATCTATGTCCTTGTAATTTAGACCGATTATAAATCAGCAGCAGCAGTCCTTAATTGTTTACTACAACTAAATATTTGGGAGAGCAGAGCTTCAAGTCATCCACGGGTAAAGTCGATTGGCTTTCACGTTGAACCCAAAGGCCACATAGGAACCAGTGCACGACTAGCGATGGTTGGAATTCGTGTTCCGTTAAAATCTGAGCCTTCGTGAAGAATGCAGGAGAATTGTCAATAAAAGGTTAATGTAACAACCCCAAGATAGAGTCTTTGATGAATGCTCACCGCGATTCCACTTCCCTTTCTTCTTTAGAACTACCATGTTTTGTCCATCCTTAGCCAGTAGATCAGGTTAATACGGTAGCCTATTCCAATACGACTGTGAATGCCCCTAGGGAAGGCCTGGAGAACATCTCGGTGACATTCTTGAGTCCTGAGAAACGAGCTGCGTGGGAGGAAGCTTTCCTGGAAGCCAAACAACTATTGGGTGAGCTAACCAGTTCGCTCTCTTTTGATGAAAATATGATGCCCTCATATCTCTACTTCTCTGTCCTCTTTTCATCACTATCCCATGATATAGAAGAAAGGGAGGGATGGGATTATTCGTTCTCGATGACCGTTGTTAGGGCCAAAGGGATCGCCGAGGGATTACAGATCTTGAATGTATCATGTGACTAGTGATGGGTCTCCATAGTTCCCTTGATCAATGGCTCTTGCTACCAATATTTACTGACGAGAATCGAATCGCTTAATTCAAAGTAAACTTGGCGTGCAAGAAAAAAAATATATTGATGGGCTGCGCACGGTGGTGTAGTGATATTCCATCCCTTTCTCTTCATATTTACCTTTCTTCATATCTCGGCAGCGAGGGGCGTTGAAAGCAGTATTTCTGGGAAATCTTTTTGTTTGCATCCCTTTCAGTTTTACTGTAGAAAGGGACCCCTCTATGATCCCGAGACAAATCCCTCCTCTCCGGATGCTGCTGGTTATCTCAGTAGTCCCATATTCATGCCATACATGTTTGCTTCCAGTCGGGTGCTTAATGGGGCATGTATCTACCTGTATCATGTACTGTAGCATGTACTTCTTTCTACCTTACTTACTACCTAACCCTGAATGCTCAGAAATGGCTTCAGGAAAACTGGTCGAAAATTGACCACGGTCGAAAGGAAAACGATCTAATTCATTCGTAAGAATAAAGCAGTTGTTTTGAGGATTCCGGTTTGAGATGAGGTGAGGTGAAGGCGGGAACAAAAAATTACATAACAAGAAACATAGTAATCTTTGGCGGTCCATGATACCAACGTTCTTGATCAATTACTTTCACACAAGAGCTTAATTTAAACATGGAAGTGGAACATGATTTGAAGACGGATTTTTTTACTTTTTGGCATTCCTGACGTTTGGCATGAATACACTTTCTAGCGATGTAATTTTCTTTTAAAATTTTCACCTGGTAAATATATCTTTCCTTACGGGACGCCCCCATTAGATGAGATTTATTTTAAATATTTTATTTTTACTAACTCATATACAATTTTCTCAATCTCTTTCTATTGTATTTCTGTGGCATTTGTAGCTCTGGCGGATAATCGCCGCCCACCCCCGGAGTTCCTCTATCCCCTTCCGATCCGAAAGACTCGAGCTGGGCTCCAATTCACGTGTGCAGCGCCGACGCTAGGACTAAATGCCCACAATCTCAGGGATGTGTGGGTATGCAATTCGGATGGGTACGTGGGACAGGTGTGTGTCCTCAGCCTCCAGCCTGAACCCACCGTGATGTCCTGCAATGGCGTCTGCAATTCTCGCATTCTTGCCGTCTCCTCTATCCCCGCTGCTGCTCCCACGTATGTCACGCGCGCACGTCGGCAAAATATCCTCTCTTTCATTGCAATCCACTTCTCATGGATGTATGTTTTTAAGGGTGTGCAGATATCTAAGAGTACTTTCATGCTGGACCACAGGGCAGTTCCTTGCATGAGGTTTGAAGCTCCATATTGAGTTTGAACTTTTTCATATTAATGAAGCCATATCCCTGCAGGCCAGAAGCAGGGGGATCCCCGGTGAGATCAGAGAGCGCGAACGGAAAAGCTAAAATTTGCATCTCGGTCGAGGATGCGGATCAAAACGCCCTTCGACCCGAGGAACAACGGGGCAACATCGAACTCGACAGGTTCCAAAATCTCGTCATCATTCCGAATCTCGCTACGAGGGATCGTTCCTCGAGATTCCTTTGTCTTTCCGATGTCATGAATGAGCAGTAGCGACTCGAGCGAGGAAGAGGACGAGGGATTCGCAGACGACTCTCGGAAGCAGAGAGGGGGTTCCTTGCCGCCAGGTGCAGAACCCGGATCGGGCTCGGGTTCGGGCTCGGAATCCGAATCCCCTCAGCCTACTATGTGGATCGGTACCGAAGACGGAAACATTCACGTCTACAACTGCAGTGACAACATCCGGATCAAGAAGAACAAAATCAAAATCCAACACGGCTCCTCCGTCCACTCTATCGTGTAAAATTTCTTTCTCTATTCGCCCGACGGGGTCTTAGCATTTCCACAGTCCAGGATGGTGTCCTGTCACATGCAGGTACCTGGACAACAAAGTGTTCACGGCACTGGCAAACGGGACGGTAGGGGTTTACCGCCGAGACCCAGCAGGGGGCTGGGACATCGCAAACCCCGAAATTATCGCCCTGAGTACAGCTGCTGCTCCTGTCACTCGAATGGTGCCTGCCGCCGGGAAGCTCTGGTGCGCTTGTCAGAATCAGATCAAGGTCCTCAACATCACCTCCCTTCAACAAGAGGTCGGTCATAAATGCTTATTTTCTTCCTCTTGACCCTTGGTCGTCGGCAGGTTCGAAGGTTTCAGGATGCATCCTGCTTGAAAAACCAAAAATTCAAAGATTAGTGTTCGGTGCATGAAAACATAAGAAGAAAAATTGTGACTTCCGCCTGAATTTGTTTATAGTGGGAGGTTTGCAAAATGATAGTAAATAGGACGGAACTGACACATGCTAAACATCTTATGTACATGCTTTGAAATGGTTGCGAATGTACGAGGGGGTAGCAAAAAATAAGGTTTCCTAATTTTTTGCTCGAAATTTATTTATTTTTGAAACCAAGATATTATGTATACAGATGATCAAATACGAGTACATCAATTATTTTTAAACATAGGTGCCAAAATTATTCAAGCACTTTTATTATTTTGCGAGCTCTGATAGTTTTGTGTAAAAAAAAAATAGGGAACCTTATTATTTGATATGTCCTCGTATATGTAAAAAAAATTATGCCTGCCAATTCTATTACGCTAATCGATCTACTAAAACTTTAGCAGCGTACGACGAAATGCCGAATTCCATTTTGCCTAGCAACGTGCATGACGATTGCTTGAAATGCCTAAGAGCTAAAATGAAGAAACACAAAATGCTGAATGCTAAAAACGCCGATAATACATTTTATTTCCCAGTCTTAAATGGAACGTAGTGACTAACTTTCCATGAGAATACGGTAATCACATGTCATAAACTGTCTTAAAACCTTAGCTGAAGAGGGCGCAAGCGGAGGTGATCTAAGAAACTCATGGCCGTTCTGTAATTCAGAGTCGTACATAGTGAGCAATGGCCCTCAAGTAGGATATTATGTTCTATAAGCTTCACTCGCGCTTGATCCGAGAGTCCTTCGATATTTTATTTCACTGTCTCTTTTTTTGGGGAGGGAGGAAGGGGGGGGGGAGTGGGGGAGAGTGGCTGACTTCCAAGCGTTGAATCACACTCTTGTTCACCTGCTCCTTCCTTAGTTCGTGGAGGAAGACGAAGATGTTGGGATGGCTTTTGCCAACTATGGCATCTGTGCCAACCTTCAAAATTATTCGCGGTACGAGGTTCCTCATTGAGGGCACGTGCCCTTTCGTAATCTTCAGGGAAAAACGTGACAATTGGATTCGCTTCTGCTGGCGTGACACTCGCAAGAGGTAACAAAATCTTGTGCTATTACGAAAGCAAGAGCCGAAATGCTTTGGATACAGATGGGAGAAGTCTTCGTTTATCGATTTCTTGAAGTATTCACTTTGTTGTCACCTATCCGTCAGGGTTTTCGGCATTAAATTTTTTTTTAGAGATAAAGTTACCGTCTGTGTATCCAACGTTAGGCGAACTGAGGGATTCCACATTTCTGTTTTTCATCATTCATATCCATCGTTGTTCCGCATATTCGTTGCATTCGGCTGTCAGCATTTTTGTTTCGGCATTTTGTTATAGACCCAACTTTAGGCCCGAATGTTGAAACCTTTAATTAAAGGTAATATAGTCATTATACTATGTATCGTCCTTTAAGTCCTTTAAGAATAAATGAACGCCTATTGTGGGAAAAGAGCGCTTTATCTTTAAGATCTCTTCATCTCCCTAAGTGAGGGTTATGCATTCGGGCCTTAATCGTAACTTTAACAGATTAACCGTTCTTGATCGATGGGAAAAAATACGTTCTGAAAACTTTCCGCTTTGATCCTCTTCAGTGTGGGAGGTGAAAATTCCATCAGTGTCAATGTTTACAGTGAAATCATTAAATTATAAAATTGAAAATGAAGAAGGAATAGGCAAGTTAGAGCAATGTGACAACATCAAGAATGTTCTCGTGATCTTTGTTCTTTCAGAATTTTAGTATTTGGCCAGTTTAGCAGTTTTAGATTGAGAATTTCAGTCTGGCTGAAGTTTAATAAAGAAACCATTAAAACATAAACACCATTAAACAAGTTAAATTTATGAGCAACTATTAAGGTTTGCTCATGAGTTAATATCTATTTTTTAAATTAAAAAAGTTAAGATCTTACTTTTCGACTCAATCAGACCCGGATTGTGATAATGTTGAAGAGTGTGCGATTGGTTTGGTTGGTAGCATTCCTTTGTGGTGCATCCGGACCAGAGCAAGGCAGTGGGATGTATGTCAGCGTCAGGGTTATCCGTTTGGATTTCCCTAGCCGGCTCGTCGGCCATCAAACTATACCATGCTGCCACCTACGAACCCCTCTACGACGTCAACATCGTGCCTACCGTCAACAAGATGCTTGCCGGTTCGTCCATGTCAAGTCCTTGCGAGATGCTTGTCTTTCCTACCACTCCCTCCTTCCTTCTCTTTTTCTGTCTTTCTACTGTATATGATGAGAATCTTTGGTGAATTCATGCAGGCTGTGATGAGATAATTCGAGCCCATAAGGCGGCGTGTTTGAGGGTCACAGCCCTGCTGGCCTGTAAGGATCTCCTGTGGATCGGGACTAGTGCAGGCGTTCTGCTCAACGTTCCTCTTCCCCATCTCACCACTGATGGCAGCAGACCGCCTCCACCCCCAAATGTCACCGGTTCGTTCCTCTCTCGCTTTCTCTATTTGGAATCAAGGCTGTCTAAACACCCTATTTGAACAGCCCATGCAAGATTTCGCTAGGCAAGGTTGCTTATCTGATATTATGAGTATCGACGGTATTTGCTGGTATTTCTCCTCCACCATTAATGAGACCTTCCTTAGGTGCTTCTTGGGGATGTATCTGCTGCCCCTACATGATGTGCAATAACAAATCGGACAGGATTTATTCAAAAAAAGCAATGCTTGTATGACGAAAGATTCTTCCAGAGAACAGCGACGAACAGCATTGATAGTGACGAATGAATTTTTCATTATTATCTCCCGGACAAGGAGTTGTGATGTTCGATACAAGTCATCAGTAGCTTGCAGCCCTTCCTGTCCTTCGGATGCTAATTTTTTTTTTTTTTTACCCTTTGAGGCGTGAGGTGGGGCGGAGAGACCGCACTGCGGGAGCGAGTTAGGAAGCAAAGACGGGGGAAGATTAAATTATGAACATTTTACTTCTTCCTTTTAGGCTAGGACATATGATTTTTGGATCAAAAAGTAATTTCTTACATTATTGTTTGCCTTGACATTCAATAACTTCACGTTTTCGTGTTTTATGAGTGTGTGACTCATACGTGCTCACCCCGTGAGCTCAAAAATAAATACATAAAATACTGGGTGAACGGGAAGTCTACATATATAATTACGTATTTCCGTTCTTGTGACGACTGAGGATTTACGGGGCCGTATATCTGGCAGCATTTCCGACGATCGCACTCACCATGCCGCTTGGGATGTCGCACAGGACTTGGCGAGGCATCAAATTTTCCGAGACGACGACGGTGCCATATGGACCCGATGGACACATAATTTCATTAGGGGTAAAGGGATTTCCCGTCCACCCTGTACATGGGTACATGGGAGGACCATCATTCCGGCACGTATGCAGGGTATTGCAAAACATATATATGACCAAAGACTTCTGACCTTCATACGACCTCGTATCTCCGCTTGCACTGAAGCTATTTTCTTGAAAATTTCATTTTTTCATGTAAGAAAATGCTTTCAACTGATTCGCTAGGTATCATATGGGTTTGTTGAGCCGAAGTAATGCTTGAATTGAAAATGCAATGCAATTATTGAAAGGAAGTTGGACATTGAGAATGGACAAGAGTTCCTGCTGGTAGTGGATTGGGGGAAACATTCGAACGCTGTCCCTCCTGGGCATCCAAACAATGTCGAATTCCTCTTCTATTTAAATTCATTCATGGGGCTGGTTGTCTCTTGCAAATGGTTTCCATGCGCTCATACCCTATGAATAGCAGATGAATCAATTAATATCAATCCAGAGAGTTTTCTCAACATTCTTCTAGAATTTCCCTTATTATACGTCAGCCTGACTCTGCAAGGTATGACAAAAAAGATCAACGACTTCGAGTGTATCTCATGATTACTTAAGTCATAGCTCACCAAATTGGCTGAGGATGTAGCATATTTTCATTGTTTTTGTTATTTAAAAGTCAACAAGGCTGAAAAAAATCCACTAATTCAGATTAAAGTTATAAATATCATGTAAGATATTTGAAATGGACATCCGTAAAAAAAAACAAGGACATTCTGAATGAGTTTTGATGAAACTCTCTGGATTGATATTCATTCATTCAACGGCTATTCATTTGAAATAAGAAAATAGAAACCATATGCAAGAGACAACCAGCTCTGTGAATTTCCGATGATCAAGAAGATCAGCGCTCGAGTGTTTCCTCCACTCAGCAGGAGCTCTTATCCATTCTCAAATTCTAATTTCTTTTCAATAATTGCTGATAGTGTTGCTTCGGTTCAATAAATTTAGGTGAAATTTAAAGTATCAGTTGGAGACACAAACATATGCAAAGTGAACGTTTCGCGAAAATAGCCCTGTTGTGAGCTGAGATATTTAGGTTGAAAGTCTTTGGTCTTTTTTTCCATACCCTATAGATACCTGTGTACTCCTCAAAGGATTAAATGCGAAGATTCACAAGAAGCGATGTTTTTCAAAGCTCGTTGAGCTGTTCAGGACTCCTTGCACTTGATGCTGTTCTGATGTATCGGGTTGACTGGGAATTGCTGGAGAAAGGGGGAGAGAGATGTGATTGGAATGTTTTGCTTTTCAGGAATTCCACACGGTCACACGGGGCATGTGAGATTTCTGACAGCCGTGGAAACAGTGCCTTTCCCCGAGACACATCGACCGCAATTCTTCAAACATCATCACCACCGTTTCTCGTTTAAAGGAAAGGAAGCAGGAATTCATCATCTTCATCTTCAGCCTCCTCCCCCAGCGAGCAACACGAAAATGCTTGTTATATCTGGCGGGGACGGCTATGAGGATTTCCGAAGCTCGGCTTTCTCCGATGGCACCGGGAGGGATGATTCAACCAATCATCTCCTCCTCTGGCATGTCTGACCTTTCACCCTTTCGCCCTTTCACCTTACTCCTTGTGATCAGCATTCCTCCCAGGCAGCACTTCAAAGTTCCTGCTGAGACAAAGACAGACTTCACCTTTACTGGGGTTTATCAAGGCTGTCATGTTGTTCTTTTTTTTTATTCGTGAAACAAAAGAGAAAGGAACTTATTGATCGTTGATGGACGAGGTGGAGCTGCTCCGAATGACTGTGATGTTGCCAGAGACAGATGATTCCGAATGTAATTTTTTCAAGCACACACTGCATGTGATAAACGACGAAGCTCCTTTTGTTTTTCCTGTCTCTCGCCCTATCCAGCTAGTCACAAAACGGCACTGCTCATTTTCATTTTTAATTATTGTTTATCATTATTATGAGAAGTTTTTGTAGTGAGAGAGAGAAACTGTGAGAACTAGACTCCGGTCTCATGTTGAATTTTGTTTATCTTGTGTCGAATGGAAGGAATACATTATAGACCTCTAGGATGTCAGAAAGCGAAGAAAGAAACTTTTGTAGGCGAAGGAATAAACATAATTGATAAAGATGTTGCAATGAAGTTTTATCGAAATCCGCGCTTCTCACAAACCTGATCCTGCCCAGATCGAAATGTGATGCGGGCGAAGAACTAAAACGAGACGCACTGATTCAGATGAGCGAAATATGAGGGGAGCAATTGAAAGGTCCAAGTCCTTCGGAGAGGACCCGGAGGGATGGACTGTCGGGAACGAGGACAGCTTAGGGTGGAAGTCTAATCAACTGGCAAGGCTTCTCAAATTCTTATCCATGAAAATGATAATCATGAAGGCGATGAACATGAATACGACATAAGCGACTAGCTTCCTCGCCAGACCCTCCTGCGCCGGGCAGAGCAGAGCAGAATGTCTTCCTTCCTGTCTTGGCTCCTTACGCGAACAGAATAACAAGAATGGCATGAGAATACATGTTCACAGCTCATATGCAGTAGGGAATCTTCGAGGAAGTAACCTCGTTACAGACCAGTATTTCGAGGAGAAAAAAGTATGCAGGGACGTGTCTTTCGATCTCTAAGAGATTTTGACTGAGTTGTCCGAGGCATGCTTGGACTTGTAAATGACGAAAATTTTTCGAGATCCTTGCCTTTCTAAGTTTTCCCGGTAGCTTCAGGCTTTCCAAAACAGCATGGCAATTGGAGAAGGTCCGAATACTGCTCTCTCACTACACTGTTTTCCAACCCTAACAATACATTTTTTCACTACACTCGGACACCCGTGTATGGGAAATGCCCCATTGCATGCTGGAGTAAAGTAAAAAATAAAGTCTGACCCAGGTAAAAACACTATCATGGATTCAAAATACGTAAAGCTACCAGAAGTACGATAACTTGGGGGAAAATGGGCATGCTAGCTGTGTTTGGTGCTAGGATGCCAAAAGTTCTATGAAGCCACGCCACCATAGCAACAGAAATTTATTCTCGAGCGAGCTTGCATTGGAAAAAATTGCAGTTCCAATGGTAGCCAAGTAACCTGTCAGTGCTTCTCAAACTTTTTTGGCATTTGAAATACGAATGAACAGTAAAAATTGTAATGTCCATATTGCCAAAGTGGCACTGTCAAAATTATCTGGGAACCATGAAAGTAGGAGCACCAAGGTCAAGAGGATCACGCTAGATGTGGACTTCCCATTAAATACAATTTCGCGTGATAGGCCGGATAAGTAGAGGTCGTGCAGCTCCATTGTTGATCATGGAAGACATGCCCTAAATAACAACTTATCACAAAAGATAAAATGGAAGATCTTATCTTTTTAAATACCTAAATGAAACCCATCTAGGAGCATGAGGACGTTCTTCTGGCACAGTAAGCTCCATTTGTGCATTAGGTCCCTACTTTTTCCCTGTAGAATTTCTAAAATCCTTTATTGGATTGTGGGATATAATTGAAAAAGTCATATTCTGCTATAAATATTGTCTACAATTAAGGGGGAAAATTATGGTAGATTAAGAAAGAGTTCTGCTTTGAGGCAATGATTTTCATTTTAGAAAATTTTCTTAAACATTGCAATTTAAAATTTTTCAAGATTGCTGTCCATTTACAAACTGGGACCAAATGGGTTAAAAGAGCAACGTTTCCAGCTAATATACATATTTTGTATGTCATTCTCGTTAGGAATAATGCATGGGAGTATAAACAGTTTCCCATATTCTCTACAAGTCCACCATATTCCTCCCCAATTACCCTGATTGTAAGGATACACGATATCAACTTTTTAAGTTGATATCTTCTCGCAAGTTAATACTTACAAATGTTCTAAAATATAAGCAGCAAAATATTTCGGGATTAACTCCGCGCTACTTGGTTGTTGGTTGAAAGGAAAGCATTTTATCACTTCTGAACCTTTTTTTAAATATATATATCCGACAGTGTTCACATTTTCAGTTACATCACATTGTGAGCATAAGTACGTCAATTGTGAATGGCTGAAGTTTTTTTAAATCTGAAGTTGTTATGAGATCGTTGAGGTATCCATCATACATTAACTTGTACATAGTTGTACTTGTACATGGTCAGGATACAAAATTTGCATGTAGAGTCCTTTGATATTCAGAGTAAACTAAACAATATACAGGGCGTTTCAAAAGTCACTTCCGCGATTTAGACGATTGCCCCTGGGAAACCGATGGACACGACGTTGTGAAACATAGTGTGTAGACCAATTTGACCATGCAGAAGAAAACGTATACAGGTTCGTGGTGGCCTGTTATGACATCGTGGTCACACATGGTACCCTATGGTACCTTAGGAATAGGATGCATAGGCTGAATGCATATTCGAGCAGTTTTTAACAAGTCACTGCAATGCTGAGCTTGAAGCAGAGATTTGAGTTCATTGGGCTCTGGTATGAAAATTCCAGGAAAAACGAAGCAGCTTTGGCTCTGGGGTTACCTCAAGAGCCGTGTTTACCGCAATGGCCTCACCACATGCCACGAGTTGAAGGAGAACATACGGCAGAAAGACTGCTCCATACCCCCTGATATGCTTGGAGCAGCAGTTTGGAACGCGTTGTCACGATTGGAGATGATGACTATCACAAAAGAAACGCACATCCAACAACTATTATAAAAACGAATGCAATTTGTGAACCATAGGTACCATCTAGTGTGACCACCATCATCAACAACCACATGACTTCGTTTTCTTTCGCTAGTTCAAATTGGTCTACAAACCAAATTTCACAACGTTGTGTCCATCGGTTTTCCGGGGGCAGTCGTCTGAACAGCGGAAGTGACATTTGAAACGCCCTGCATTCAAGGCCGGCCCTAGCTATTTCGGTGCCCTGTGCAAAGAGACTACTCACTTTGGAAGCTAGGAACGGAACTTGTCACCTTGTACAGGGAATTCATGGAGTAATTTCGCTAAATGAAAATGGTGCTCCAAAATGTGGGAACTCCAAAATAGTGGAATGCCATGACATTTGAGATTCGAGATCTCCAGACACCATGGAATTTCTCGAAACCTGTCATTGGATGTGGCTATTGGCTCTGAGGTTACACGGAAGTAAGGAATCCTGTGAAGCACTACATCATCTACCCTGCCTGAGGCATGCCACTGCAAAGGAGGTTGCGACCATTTCACCTATCATGAATCGAGCAGCTATTGACCGCTTGTGGAACACATAAGAGCACTTGAAGTTGACGGTGAACACATGGAACACCTTTGAACTTACACATTGCTTTCAATTTCCACCCACTTACAAATTATTGCAAATTTTCAGCTGCAGTGCCACCAATCCAAAATAGGTGTCAAGAAACTCCATTTCAGATAGCAAAAATCTGTTGGGTTCTACGTAGAAACTAGAATACCAACCTGGAATAGGTAGGGTCAACGTTGTGCGCCAGCATTGGCCCAATGTGAATATGCCGATCGGTCAATGTTGGACCTACGTTGGATGCATACCTGCACCCAACGTTCTGGCCACATTTTCCTTCATCGCCTCAATATTGGATGACTAATTCAATTCATCATTATGTAATGAGTTATGAATTGTGTTCCCAGAAGGGTCATCATCTCTTAAGGAGTAAACCTCTTCGATGGTAAATTACCTTAACAGATCGTTAGGGATGGATTAGGGTCCCGAGTTGTTCCAAGTTGCGAAACTTCATTTCCGCAGGAAGTGATGTGGAAGTAAGGAAGAGACGTTTTCCCTGACACCGTTTCTTGATATCATATCATTCGAACCAACCAAGACTGGCTCATCTTATGCGGAATGTGATATGTGAAAGCACAACTTCAACAAGGTTTTGGGTATTCGTGCTCAGAGCTCAGTGCTCAAACAATCTCCGGTATATGACAACCTATGCAGTATACTTCGTATATCAGAATGTAACGGTTCGATATTGGCAGAATATTGATCCAGTTCCGGGCAATTAGCCCAATATTAGCCCCAGTATTTTTTCAGGTAGTATGGCCAATATTGGCCAATATTGGGCCAATATATGTATTGACTTGACAGTCCATATTGGAGTGCTACCAGGGACATGTATCTTACTTGGCATGCCCACTTCTCAACGGCGTTGGACCAACATGACCAGCCCACCTTCATATTTTCAGTCAACTTTGCCAACATTCAAGCAATGTTTCACGTTATCTGGGATGGTGTCTGGAGTTATATCAACTTCATGGCATTCTCTCAAACCTGTTCACAATAGTAACAATTATAAATACAATAGAAAAATTATATATATATAATATTTAATATATAATTAAATTTAATTAAACTATATATATTCATCATAATATTGGATGAATGAGAAAAGCCTGTGCGTGAAATTCCAAAGCAGACCAGATAAATCATATAGGATATTACTTGAAGGGCAGCCAGAGTTACAACCAAACTGTGGGAAAAGGTCCTCTAACAGATCTAAAGATTGCCAGACGAATAGTTTGGTAAGAGTATCCCAACCCAAAAACCCAACCTTTGCAAAGTTAGAAGGTAAAGAATATACTGTTCAGGGTTTCCCTGTAATGACCCGACAGCTGGTTCTGTACCATTTAGGAAATGCAGCCATGAAAGGAGGGGAAGTAGGTCGTCTTGGAAGATATACAATACTGCTTCCTCTGTGTAATCACATTGCACTTGCAGTGGAATGGCGAAACGGTCTTTGGCTTTTACCCTTAGAAGTAGAGGCTCCCCCTCCTGAAGAGGCAGCCTTCTTTAGTAATAGTCTTGGCTTTCTTAGCTATCGTGATAACTCTCTTCTAAGGAAGCCTATTTCTCCTCCTTTTTGGATGAGGAAAAATTTCTTGATGGGATGAGAAACATGGAAGAATGGTACGTAAGTGCCAAAGGAATGGAATCTTGGATGAAGAGATGGAATTACGATCAAGAGTCCTGCGCAGGCTCGCCCCCTGTCCTCACGTCCACAAAATGAAAAGGCAAGGACGCCTGGATACAGCCCTTTCACCCTTTCCTTTTCAATCTATATCTTGTCACATCCATTGGGGAAGGTTCCTCGACAGCCCAATGGTGGGAAAAATTATTCCCACTTTGTCTCTCCTTTCTCCCTC